ACTTCCGATTAATAAACTACAATTATTATGGTTGTTATCCATGCACATGTTGTAAATAAAATCGACAGACTAATGTCTAGGAAATAGTCAATAAACAGATATATATAGCCAAAAAGTAGACTAATGTCCAAATTAGTTCAAATCAATTTAATATAAACATCTATTCACTCAACACAACACAGAGTAAAACTGGTTTAATACTTAAGCCATATTATAAAAATTTTAAATGATGCTATATTTTCCAAATGAGATTTTATTTACATTCTGTTAGACTGAACAGAAAGTAATGCCCCACTGGATATAAATTCTAACATCTAAAAGTTAAAGTATTTTGTGTAATCCATCCAGCAAGAGTCAGGAGTTTGGAATTTCACCATTAACAGAGCCTTCCTGCTGATCTACTACTACTGCTGAACCTCAAGTTGAGGTTCATGCTGAGCCCATGACTCAACCCATTCTCAATCAAATCCAGAATTTAACCCTTACTATAAGAATTATCTCAAGGCTTTGTCTCTCACAAAGCCGTGTCCTCACCAGCTGCATGCTATATGTTAGACTGGGGTTTTAAATAGCTCCTCCAAAACCACCTAAGATTTAAAAATCTCTGGATGCCAGAGCCAAGGCTTAGGCATTCACTGCCAGCACCCCCTGTGACTAGGACCCGCTGCAGAAGTGCCCTGGTCTGACCTGTTCAAATGAACTAAGGTTCTGACATGAAGCCTATAAATACTGGAATGTTTGCTACCGCATTATCTTTATAATGATTACATAACTTCGCAAAGGAACCCTTATTTTCATGTTAAATATGGAGGCAGTTTGAAAACAGAAACAAAGTTTTCAGATATATAATTTTACACTTCTTCATGTAAATGTGAAATTTACATATACCTCAAGCATAAAATGTAAATACATATGAACTTTTTAAATATGTTTTATAGATTATAAATTGATTTAATAGAAGTAATCAAATTCTTGAAAATAGGAAAATATTAATATCTTTAGAAAGAGTAATGTAAATAAGTTCACATATTTTACCACAGGAAATTAAATCAAATACACCACCTAACGCCAATTAAAACTATAGTCTTGAGATTTTCTGGTTGCCTTCCTACTATTACTACAACACTAATAGTGTTTTATCTAGATCAAAAGTAATAAAGAACTATTATTATCTGTGAATAACTCTTGATAATATAAGCATTAGGTATAAGAACTATTTAAAACTTTATGATAATATCAAAATCAGACTTCAATTTTTAAACAAAAATAAAACATAATTAAAAATAGGTATCGAGACTTCAGAGTGATTTTGTATTGCTTTTCCTAACTTTTCTACAACAGATACACAGCCTAGTGTAAAATACTTAGCATATCTGGATTATAAAACAGCTGAATTACATCATCACTTGCTCTGGGTGAATTTAAATGATTATCTATAATAAGGGCACTAATTTGAGACTGCTAGCCAGGCATTAAGTAATGAACTTTATAAAATGAACTACTCTGACAGATTCAGTAGTAACTATTTTTGACATATTAAGAAATAGTGTTATATATAAAACTATTTCTGAACTATTCTTCATGGTTCAGCAAATCACCTCTTGTACAAAAGCTAAATTTTAAAAGAGGGTAAGACTTGGGGTTCCCAAGTTAGAATATCAACTAGAAATGGGTAAGTTATGAAATATTGTTTCAATCACAATAATGTAAACATAGAAAGTGCTTGGTAAATACTTACTGATTATCTAAAGAACTCTTAAAAATAACAAAGTAATAGTAATTAGATTTGAATATGAAGTTTAAAAGTCCATAAAATAATCACACAATGTAAGGATTTAATCCAAGACTACCTGACTCCAAAGTCTATGTCATTAATTCACTTAATAACAGGCAATTAAATCATAAAAGCACTTTAAAAGATAAATTTACACTAGTAAAGGGATTATAATCTCTAAATAATGGGTGAGGTACATGAAAAATGAGAACACTGTGAACATAGATTCACATCTTTAAAAAATCAATAGCTGACACACTGCCTCCTCACACAACCAAAATAAGGACAACAAAAATTTAGAAACAATAAAACAACCAGTACTGCCAGAAAATTGAACTGCATGGAAGTCCGACAACCAAGGAGTTAGACACATTCATTTAGACTGGTAAGAGGGCTGGAATCAGGCAGCCCGGCAAAGAGGGGTCAAAGCAAAAAAAGCAGTGGCTGGCGGACCCTGGGCGTTGGGGGTGGCAGTGGGCGGACCCAGCGAAGTGGCAGATTGTGGAGGGGCGCAGTACACACGGTGGCTGGCAGACCGGGCAGTCCCACATTTATGTGCAGATAAACCAGGTGAAACTGGGGAGGGAGACAGACCACACAACCCAGGGCCCCAACCCAGGGAAATAAAGCTTCAAAACACCAATTGAAAATAGCTGTGGGGGTTGAGGTGTCAGGAGAGACTCCCAGCCTCACAGGAGAGTTCGCTAGAGAGACCCACAGGGTCCTAGAACATACACATGCCCGCCCACCCAGAAATCCATAAAAGAAAGGGCCCGATTTGCGTGTGGGAAGTGGTGAAAGGGACTGGAATCCAGCAGAGAGCAAAGCAAGCGCCATTGACCCCTCTCAGACCCCTCCCCCACGTACAGCATCGCAACCCAGTAATGTGTATTACCCCATCCAGGTGAACACCTAAAACTCCGCCCCTCACTATGTAACAGGAGTGTCAAGACAAAAAAAAAAAAAAAGGAAAGAAAAAAGCCCAAATTAAAGAACAGATCAAAGCTCCAGAAAAAAATACAACTAAGCAACGAAGAGATAGCCAACCTATCAGACGCACAGTTCAAAGCACTGGTAATCAAAATGCTCACAGAACTGGTTGAATTTGGTCATAAATTAGATGAAAAAATGAAGGCTATGCTAAGCAAAATAAAGGAAAATGTACAGGGAACCAATAGTGATGGGAAGGAAAGTGGGATTCAAATCAATGGAGTGGACCAGAAGGAAGAAAGGAACAACCACACAGAAAAGAATGAAGAAACAAGAATTCAAAAAAATAAGGAGAAGCTTAGGAACCTCCAGGACATCTTTAAACGTTCCAACATCCGAATTATGGGGATATGAGAAGGGGAAGAGGAAGAGCAACAAGTGGCAAACTTATCTGAACAAATAATAAAGGAGAACTCTTCCCCAATCTGGCAAAGGAAATAGACTTCCAGAAGTCTAGTAAGCTCAGAGAGTGCCAAAAAACTTGGACCCAATCAGGAACACACCAAGGCACATCATAATACATTACCCAAGATTAAAATGAAGGAGAAAATCCTAAAAGCAGCAAGAGAAAAGGAGACAGTAACCTACAAAGGAGTTCCCATCAGACTGTCAGCTGATTTTTCAAAACAAACCTTGCAGGCAAAAAGGGACTGAAAAGAAGTATTCCAAGTCATATAAGCAAGGACCTACATCCAAAATTGTTCCATCCAGCAAAGCTTTCATTTAGAATGGAAGGGCCGATAAAGTGCTTCTCAGATAAGGTCAAGTTAAAGGAGTTCATCATCACCAAGCCCTTATTATATGAAATGTTAAAGGGACTTATCTAACAAAAAGAAGATAAAAAACATGTACAGTAAAATGTCAACAAACTCATAATTATTAACCACACCTAAAACAAAAACAACTAGAACAGGAACAGAACCACAGAAATGTAGATCACATGGAGGGTTAGCAGCAGCGGAGTGGGAGGAGGAAAGAGGGGGAAAAGGTACAGAGAATAAGTAGCATAGATAGTAGGTAGAAAACAGACAGGGGAGGGCAAGAATAGTATGGGAAATGTAGAAGTTAGAGAACTTATAAGTATGACACATGGACATGAACTAAGGGGGAGCAATGTGGGTGGGAGAGGGTGTGCAGGGTGGAGGGGAGTGAAGGGGGGAAATGGGACAACTGTAATAGCATAATCAATAAAATATATTTTTAAAAAACTATAAAAATCAATAGCAACACTGTGAGAAGAAACATGAAATAAATGTGGGAGGAGTGAGAGAAACAAAGTAGATATTGAAGAAAAGATGGTACAGGAGGAAGGGTAAGGAAGAAAAGGAAGGGAAAAGAGGGACAGAGAGAAGGAACAAGGGAAAGAAGCAAGGAGAAGCAAAGCGAGTGGTTAGCTATCAATAGAAAGAGAGGAGGAACTACGCAAAGGAGGGAGGGAGAGCTACATCCAAATCAGTATCTCTCCTAGCCTACTGAAAATAACAAAAACTGTTTTCATTGTGAAAGATATAGCCCAATGTAGGAAATGTTTATTTCATTTATGAACAACAAAAAGATAATATACAAGAAAAAGACAAAGAAAAAAATACATTAATACAAGAGGAAGGTAAATTTAAGAGACAAAAGAAAATATTTTCTAAGAAAGCTTATATTTTGGCCAGAAATTTTTAAAACTCCAACTTTTATCATTTAAAAAAATCAAAATACGAAAACTGTTTAGCTACCTTTCAAGACTATGACCATGAATCTACTGAAAACATTGGTTTCTCTTTCCATTTACTTCCAAACTATCAAATGAAACCTTTAGGACACTACAGACACATAAAATTAAGCTATAAAGGCAAAATAATGTTATAAAATGACCTTGTGATTTTAATGGGTTTTAAGTACCATAGGTAAAAATGGAATTAAAAAGGCTTCTAAACAAATACAACTTTATTTTTCTTATTTAGTGCTCACTAATTAAACTTTATGCTAGAGATAAATTTAAGTATTCTTTGCATTCTATTACACAACTGCTACATAATTCCATTTAGTATGCACTATTCAAAAATATTGTGCATCATGTTTTAAAAGAATTATTACATAATTTCATAATCAGTCTATTTTGGTTTATTTTGGTTATTTTTAATATGAACTGGTCTAAGTAGAATCATTCCACTATTCGTAAAGATAACTTTCAAATGATAAAAATAAAAATCAGTAGAATAAACATTTTTTCATAATTTTGCCATACCTTTAGCTAAAGCTTCTTTATATTTCTCTTTGGCAGAATTCATTTCTTTTATTAATTGTCTATAGGTGGATTTTAATTTCTCTAATTCTGTCTTTGTAACCTGTCAAAAAAAGAAATGCAAAAAAAAAAAGTTGAACTTAAATTTACATGGTCAAGAACTTAAATCCCAAAGTATTAATTAATGTGTATTTTCCTGTTTATGGGTCAGAGATGCTCTTTAATCTACAATTACAGACAATAAATTAAAAATTACTTTAGGTATCAGTGGTAAATTCAACAGCATATAAAAAATTCTCAAAAACAAGAGCAAATCAATAAACAATGCATAGTCAAGCCTCGGCCAGTGTGACTCAGTTAGCTGGGCCTCATTCCATAAACCCAAAAGTCAAATGTTCAGTTCCTATGGGTTGCAGGTTGGGTCCCAGTCGGGCAGGCATGGAAAGGCAACCAATCAGTGTTGCTCTCTCACAGTGATTGGTGCTCTCACATCGCGATGTCTCTCTCTCTCTCTTTCTCCTTCCCTTCTACTTTCTCACCCTCTCTCCAGAGAAGGGGAAGGGATTAGTCAAAGAACATGTATGAATGACTCACAGACATAGACAAAGATGTAGGGATTGACTGTGGGAGCAGTGGGGTAGGGTAAGCTGAACAGAAGAGGGCAAGGGGAAAAATTGGGACAACTATAATAGAATAAACCAGAATAAAAACTTAGTTTTGTGTTTTACAGTTAGATCTGCGATCTGCTTTGACTTAATTTTCACAAAGGGTATGAGGTCTGTGTCTAGATTTATTCTGCACATGGATAGATATCCAATTATTCCTGCATCATCTGTTTGAAATAATATCTTTTTCTGCTATATTGACTGTGCCCTTTTGTCAAAGATGTTGACTATATTTATGTGGATATATTTCTGGGCTCTCTATACTGTTCCATTGATCTATTTATCTATTTTTCTACCCTTACACAAAATCGAAACTATTAATGTCTTCATTTATAGTAAACCTTGAAGTTGGGTAATATCAGTCCTCTGACTGTTCTTTCCTTCAATATTCTATTGGCTCTTCTGGGCCTTTTGTTTTTCAATACAAACTTCAGAATCAGTTTCTCAATATCCATAAAATAACTTGTTGGGATTTTCATCGTTGTGTTGAATCTATAGGGCAAGCTGGAAATAGCTGACATCTTCACAGTATTTAGACTACCCACACATTAACATAGATTATCTCTTAAATTATTTTTTCTTTGCTTCCCTCATCAGAGTTCTGTCATTTTGGTCCTATAAGTCCTCTATATACTTTGTTAGATTTATACTTATTTATACCTAAGTATTTCATTTTGGGGGGTGCTAATGTATATGATATTTTATAGTTAATTGCATATCATCTTCTTCATTGATTGCTGGTCTAAGGAAAAGCAATTAAATTTTGTACATTAACATTGTACCCTGCAACCTTGCTAGAGCACTTATATCCAAGGGTTTCCTTTTTGATTCTCTTGGATTTTCTACTTGGACAACTATGTCAGCTGTGAACAAAGATACCTTTATTTCTTTCTTTCCAATCTGTATACCATCTATTTCTCTCTCTTTTTTTTAAGATTTTATTTATTTTTAAAGAGAGGGAGAGGGAGGGAGAAAGAGAGGAAGAGAAACATCAATGTTTGGTTGCCTCTCATGTGCCCCCTACTGGGGACCTGGCCTGCAACCCAGGCATGTGCCCTGACTGGGAATCTAACTGGTAACCCTTTGGTTGGCAGGATGACACTCATTCCACTGAGCGACACCAGACAAGGCCCATTTATTTCTTTTTCTTATCTTACTGCATTAGCTATTATGTACAGTATGATGTTAACAAGCAATGGTAAGAAGGAACATACTTGCTTTGCTCCTCGCTTAATGAGAAAGCTTCAAATTTCTCAAAATTAAGTATGCTGTAGGTTTTTTGTAGATATTCTTTACTAAGTTTATTAAGATTTTTTCTCATGAATGGGTGCTAGATTTTGTCAAATGCTTTTTCTGCATTTATTCACATAATCATCTTATTTTTTAGTTAATCTGTTTATGTGATGGTTTCCATTTATTGATTTTCAAATTTTAAACCAAATGCACACCTGAAATACACTCCAATTGATCATAGTGTATAATTCTTATGATACATTGTTGAATTTGATTTCCTAACAGCTAAGGATCTCATCTATGATCATGAGAAGTGTGAATCTACAGTTTCCTTTTCTTCTATTATCTTGTCTGGATTGGGGATTAGAATAATGCTGACCTAGTAGAATGAATTAGGAAGTTTCCCTCTTTGTATCTTCTGAAAGAGTTTGTAGAAAATTAGTATAATTTCCTGTTTAAAAGTTTGACAGAATATACCAGTGAACTTATCTGAGCCTAGTAATTTCTGTTTTGGAAGGTTATTAATTATTGATTCAATTATTTAATAGATGTTTCCCTAATCAGATTGTCTATTTCTTCTCATGCGAGTTTTAGCAGATTGTGTCCTTCAAAGAATTGGCCCATTTCTCAACATTATCAAATTTGTAGACATAGAGTTGTTCATACTATTCCTTCATTACCCTTTAATATTCATGGGATATGTAGTGATGTACCCTCTTTCAATCCTGATATTAGTAACCTGTGCTGTATACCGTGTTTTTGTTAGACAGCTAGAGGCTTACTGATTTATTAATCTTTTCAAATAATCAGGTTTTGGTTTTGTTGAGTTTTCCCTGTTGATTTCCTGTTTTCACTTTCATGGATTTCTGCTCTAATTTTTATTATTTCTTTTCTTCTGCTTCCTCTGGCTTCAATTTGCTCTTCTTTTACTAGTATCCTAAGGTGAAAAATTAGAAGATTGATTTTATTGAGTTGGCAAAAACATCCATATTTTTTTTCTGTAAAATAAAAGACATATTTCTCACTTTCACCAATACCTTTACTGATTTGGATATTTTAAGTATGTTGGCAATCTCCAGTGTGGTACCCATTGATCATTCTCAATTAATGTCTCAATTTGATCATTGTCAACTTCAACTGGCCTACCCAATCCTGGAGCATCATACAGCAAGAATCTCCAACATGAAATTTTGCAGACCACCTTTTGTTACTGATTTCTAGTTTAATTTCATTGTGGTCACAAAGCCAATATTGTTTGATTTCTTTTAACTTTAAAGGTATGATTTATGGTCTAGAAAGTAGACTGTCTTGTTGAATCTTCCATGTGAGTTTGAGAATAATGTGTCTTCTGCTGTTCTTGCATGAAGTGATTCATAGATGATCATTATATCTAGTATGTCTGGTTGATTGATGGCATCATATCTGTACTGATTTTCTGGCTGCTGAATTATTTCTCACAGAGGGTGTTGAAGTCTCCAGCTGCAACAGACAATTCATCTATTTCTCCTTGCAATTCAATAAGTGTTCACAGTCCTATAAGTATTTTGATGCTATATTGTTACGCACATATACATTAAGATTTTTTAGAGTATATTTTATTGATTATGCTATTACAGTTTCCCAATTTTTCCCTTACTCCCATCCTCCCTACACCCTCCAACCCTCCAGCATTCCCTCCCTTAGTTCCTGTCCATGGGTCATACATATAAGTTCTTTCAGTTCTCTGTTCCTATACCATTTTTGACCTCTCCCCATCTACTTTATGCCTACCAATTATGCTTCTTCTTCCCTGTGCCTTTCTCCCCCATTCTTCCTCTCCCCGTCACCACTGAAAAGCCTCCATGGGATGTCCATTTCTCTGATTCTGTTCCTGTTCTAGTTGTTTGCTTAGTTTGTTTTTGTTTTTAGGTTCAGTTGTTGATAGTTGTTAATTAGATGCCTTTTCAATGTCCATAGTTTTGATCATCTTCTTTTTCTTAGATAGGTCCCTTTAACATTTCATATGATAAGGGCTTGGTGATCACAAACTCCTTGAACTTGACCTTATCTGGGAAGCGCTTTATCTGCCCTTCCATTCTAAATGATAGCTTTGCTGGATAGAGTAATCTTGGATGTAGGTCCTTGCCTTTTATGACTTCAAATACTTCTTTCCAGCCCCTTCTTGTCTGTAAAGATTTCTTTTGAGAAATCAGCTGATAGTCTTACAGGAACTCCTTTGTAGGTAACTGCCTCCTTTTCTCTTGCTGCTTTTAGGACTCTTGCTACTTGTCTTTAATCTTGGGTAACTTAATGATGATGTGCTTTGGTGTGTTCCTCTTTGAGTCCAACTTCTTTGGGACTCTCTGAGCCTCCTGGAAATCTATTTCCTTCACCAGATTGGGAAAGTTTTCCTTCATTAATTGTTCATATAAGTTTTCAATTTCTTGCTTTTGTTTTTCTCCTTTTGGCATCCGTATAATTTGGATATTGGAACATTTAAAGTTGCTCCAGAGCTTCCTAAGTCTCTTCATTTTTTTGAATTCTTGTTTCTTCATTCTGTTCTGGTTGGATCATTATTTCTTCCTTATGTTCCAAATCGTTGCTTTGAGTCCTGGTTTCCTTCCTGTCACTGTTGATTCCCTAAATATTTTGCTTTATTTCACTTTGAGTATCTTTCATTCATTCTTTTATTTTTCAACCAGTTCAATCAGTTCTCTGAGCATTTTGATTATCAGGGCTTTAAACTCTCCATCAGCTGGTTGGCTATCTACTCATCACTTAGCTCTCTTTCCACAGTTTTACTCTGTTCTTTGATTTTGGCCCTATTTCTTTGTCTCAGGACACCTATTAAGTTGTAAAGGGGTAGGGCCTTAAGTATTCACCAGGGCAGGGCAACCCTCCTTATTGTGCTGTGGTACTGCCTATGTGGGAGGGGCCAGAGAGGGAACAAAGCAGTTCACCTGCTGGTCTCTAGCCCTACTTTCCAACAAACCCTCGTGTGAGACTGGGAGTTTCTCCAACCATGACAACCCCCCACCTTAGTCTATAGTCAGCTCTGAGTCTCAGTTTCCCCTTCAGTCAGCTCCACCCTCGCAGTCTGCCTGCTCGCTGGGGGTTCTCTCAGTCAGCCCTGCCTGCATGGTCCACCACCTTGCCACAAGTTCTCTGCCTGTCTTACCAGTCTGATTGGTCTTGTTGGTCTGGTTGACTGTTTCTTTAATTCCTTGGTTGTCTGAGTTCTATGGAGTTTGATTTTCTGGCACTTCTGGTTGTTTATTGATTTTATATTGGTGGTTATCCTCCTTTTGGTTGCACGAGGAAGCAAAGGGTTTCTACCTATGCCTCCATCTTGGCCAGAACCTACATTAAGTATTATTGTCTTCTTGGAAAACCGATACCTTTTATTATTATGTAATTCCCTTCTTTATCCCTGATAAACCTTCCTTTGAAGTCTGCTCTGTTCAAAATTAATATAGCTACCCCTGCTTTCTTTTGATAGTGGCAGCATGGTATATCTTTCTCCATCCATTTACAATTAATCCATGTGTGTATATTTAAAGTGGGCTTCCTGTAGACAACATATAATTGGGTCTTGTTGTTTTGATCCACTCTGACAATATCTGTCTTTTAATTGGTTCATTTAGACCACTGATCTTCAAAGTATTTATTGATAAACTTGAATTACTATCAGCCATATCTGTTAGTTTCCTGTTTGTTACCCATGTTATTTGCTCCTATTTTTCTCTGTTACTTATTGAGTCTTTTGTGGTTTACATTGAATATTTTATGATTCCATTCTTTCTCATTTCCTTGCATATCAGTTATATTTTTTCCTCTCAACACTTCAAATATTTCATTACATTCTCTTCTTGCTTGCATGACTTCACAGAATTTGGAAGTAATACTTATATTTGTTCTATATGTAATTTTTTTTTTACTTTGGCTTCTTTCAAGGTTTTGTCTTTATCTTTGATTTTCTATAGTTTCAAATAGAAATGCCTAGGTGCAGTTTTTGTACTGGCTTTTGGTTTTGGTCATTTATTGGTTTGCTTTTCTCTAACCTTTTTGGATCTGTCATTTGGTGTCTGATATTAATTTGAAAAAAATCTCAGTCATTATTGTTTCAAATATTTCTTCTGTTCCTTTCTCTTTCTTCTGCCAGTATTCCTAATACAGCATTCCTAATACTCATGTAATACATGAGTTACTTGAATTACACCTTTTTGAGTTGCCCTATAGTTCTTGAAAATGCTATTCATATATTTTCAGTCTTTGTTCTCCTGGCTTTTTAGTTTTAGAGATTTATATTGATATGTCCTCAAGCTCAGGGATTCTTTCCTCAATTATAGCCAGTCTCCCAATAAGCCCATCAAAGGCATTCTTCACATTTGTTATAGTGTTTTGATGTCTAACATTTTGTTTAGGGTCTTTCTCAGGATTTTCATCTCTCTGCTTACATTGCCTGTCTGTTGGTGCATGCTATCTACTTTATCCATTAGAGCCCTTAACATAAAAAACAGATACCATATTTTTTGGACTATAAGATGCACTTCCCCCCATCCCGCCCAAATTTGGGAGGAATAATGGTTGTTAATGCTGCTGTTGAGTTCTGTTTACATTTACATTGGGGAAATATTATGTTATTTATGTTATTAAATATTTTACCACATTTTTTGCTTCAATTTTTTTTCCTATTTTCCTCCTCTAAAGCCAGGTGTGTCTTATGGTCCAAAAAACAAGGTAATTTTTATATATTCCCACAGTAATTATTACAACATCCTGCCATATCTGGTTTTGATGATTGCTTTCTCTTCCAACTATGCCTTTTGGTAGGCCTTACCATTTTTTCTTGATTGACAGGCATGATGTTTTAGGTAAAAGGAAATGATGTAAAAAAGGACTTTACTAAGTGGTGATAAGTTGTCAGAGCAGAGGAAGCATTTTATAGTCTTCTGATTAGGTTCATCTTTTACTAAGCCTGTGCCTCTGAACTTCGAAGATTACATATGCTTCTCATTCCCCAACCCCCCTTGCATGGGAAGGGTGGCTAGAGTGGGCCAAAGTTGCGTATTTCCCTTCCCCCAGGGGTTAGGCTCTAGTTAACAGTTTCTCCCGAGGGCAGACCTTGTGAAGAACAGAATACTCTGGGGCCCTGGCTGGAGTAGCTCAGTGGATTGAGCATGGGCTGAGAACCAAAGCATCGCAGGTTCGATTCCCAGTCAGGGCACTGCCTGGGTTGCAGGCCACAGCCCCCAGCAACCGCACATTGATGTTTCTCTCTCTCTCTTTTTCCCTCACTTCCCTCTCTAAAAATAAAACAAATAAAATCTTAAAAAAAACAAACAAAAAACAGAATACTCTGGCATATGTCAAAATGGTTCCTATTCCACTTGCCCTGCCAGGACCATGAGATTTTTCTCCAATATTCACTATGACCACCTGGTAGAGATCCAGGAGGTAAAACTCCCAAAAGTGTGGGGGCCCTTAAATGACTGGATCCTCTTGAAGTTTTTAACTGCCAGACTTGTCCACGCTGAGTCTCCAGAATTTGTTAGCTACCATTCCATTTTTTCTGTACCCAGCACTGGTTTCCTAGGAGGCTGTTGCTCTGATAAGTTGTGATTCACTATATTGACTTGTTGGTCTCTCTAATTCTAGTGATATATCCATTTGCCCCGTGACTTCACTTCTGTTATAAACCTAAGAAGAGTGGTTCATTTTACCATTTTTTCAAGCTATTACTTGTTTGAATGAAGTGGCAATTCCAAATTTCTTACATCCTACACCAAAACGGGAAGTCTTAAATTCTGAAGGTGCTAAAGAATCTATTCATTCTGCAAACTGGCAAATTAATAGCAAAAAGCAAGCATTTATTCTGTCTTCCCTATATAAACAATGCTTCAGGGTAACCAAATGGTAGATCTAGGAAAATTCTTTATTGAAAAACTCCAGCTAACAATTGTATTAGGAATGACAGAAGAGAAAACTTGCCATTTTACAACCCCTGCTGAAATAATAAAGTAAGCAGTGAACATCAATTGTTTCCAGGTATATCAGATGAAAAGCCGAAGGGAAACTTTATTAAAAATAGCCTGATCAGGCTTGCAAAACTAGAATGTATTAGTCAAGTTCAACATCACACACACACAAAGAAAATCCAGAGACAGACATTATATACCTCCTGATATAAAACAAGAAAAGTCTATAATAACACCTATAATGTTTACTTGCCCAAAATAAATAGTAAGAATCTAATCAAGCCTTTAGACCTACCTTGCAGTTTACAAGAAAATTGGAGAATGAAGGAATATGTGAAATCACAACACAAAATGCTGACAACAAAATTCAAAAAAGGAAAATTCAATTCTATAGAGCAAATTACCCAGTTTCTTCCACAAACACAATGGCATTTTTAAAAGGAGGGAGGGAAACCCACAGTAAAGAGAATTATTCAAATGTAATGTGTGGGCCATGTTTCCTGATTCAAATAGACCATCTGTAAAAAGCATTTAAACAACAGTCATTTGAACACTGTCAGGATATTCAATAACATTAGGAACTGTTGCTATGTTTAGGTATAGAGATCAATAATATAATTGTTTTATTAAAAGAGTACATATTTTAGCAATATAAACTAAAATATTTATGAATAAAATAGTATCTGGAATTCTCTTTAGAATGATCCAGTATAAAACAAATAGATGAAGAAAATATTTACTATGTGGGTGAAAGGACAAATGGGAGTTCATTTTACTATTCTCTCCTCTTTTGCACATTTGCAAATTTTCATAATTAAAAACATTACAAAAGTTATCCAGGAGAAATACTCTGAAAGTAGAGAAAATTTTTAAATATCCTAATTTATTTTGCTTATATTTTCATTTTTATTTTATGCAGTGTTATATGATACACATTTTTAAAAGCCTAAAAGAGCTATTTCAATAAGTGAAAATAAAAATAAAAATTCTAAGTGATATAAAAGTACTGTATCATAGTTTAATTGGCAGAATTTTTTACTTTGTAGGAGTACATAAAGTAACAGTATATCATAATCAATGTCTTATATTCAAAAATAAGATATTACTTATTGAGAGAGAGAAAAACACATTGATTGGTTGCCTCCAATACACACCCCGACTGGGTATCAAACCAAAAGGTTGGTGTACAGGACAATGCTCCAGTCAACTGAGCTACCTTCCAGGACTGAAGTAAATAATATTTATAAGTCAAACAGAGTAAGAAATATTTTTCAGTGAATTTAAAAATCAGTTAAATAAAAATTTGAGAATGTAAAGACAAACCTTAATCATCTCTGCCTCTATCTGCTGATGAACACTTATATAACTTTTCTTCACCTGCTGCTTGTCTTTGATCATCATGGTGAGCCTGTGTAAGGGCCCAGAATTTAGGTCCTCTGCATGCGTCTTCATTATCCTACTCAGTTGTTCCGTGTGCTGAATCATAAGCAGCCAAGACTTTTAAAAACATAAGGAAATAAAGTTAGCACTATATTAGGAGTCTGCATTTTAGCAGTGCTTTAAGTGCTCAAGAAGTTTAAATATTGTTTTATACAAATTATCACATTAATATAAAAATAGCAGGTTTCTGGCCAATGTGCATATTTAACATCTTCAGCTTCAAGTATGAATACTTCAAAAGTAAGTAATCTGAGTCTACGCAGAATACTAGGAAAGGGATTAAGGGACTCTGAGAATCCACACTTGCAGTCTTCTGTTTGATTTTCAATACACCAATATATTGTTTCTGCTCACACCATTCTAATTCCTCAGTAAGGTCACCATTTCCTAATGCAACAAAATTTTCCCATCTTCATTCTAAAACTCTCTGGCATCTGAACCTACTGACTCATTTCTTCCCGATACTTTTCTGTTTTGGCCTACATGAGTTATCTTCCCATATACCAAATTGTCTTCCTCCCTCCCTAAAAATGCTTTCTCAACCTTTCTACCTGCTCTTCTTTAGCTGCTTATGTCTTAAATACAGGCATTCTCTGAATTTCTAGCTGTAGTAATTCTCTTTTCGTAATAAATACCATTAATTCTCAATGGTTTTTCCAGCACAGCATAATACCTGAATAGCAGAGACATGAAATGGTGGGCTTTAACAAATGGGAATATGGATATTGCTGGAAAAACAAGTCATTTGATATTAGACTTTCCATCTTATAAATACTGAAAAAAACTAACAGAAGAATGCTCTTCACTATAGGTCTTCAAAATTCAGAAACAATTATTAGAGTCCAAACACACTCAGTGAGGATCCATGTTAAAGATAAAAAATAAGACATGGTTTCAAATACTTACAAAACTAACATTTCCACTCTTATACTTTTTTCTACTCTAATGCTTTTGATCTGTAAATGAATAGAATTATTCTCTTTCAATTAATATCCCAATGTAATACTAAATCAAAATAATAGCCTAAAGAAAGTAAATTCTCAGTTACAGTCAAAACTCTCCAAGGTCTGAGTTGATAATATTATTTTTAATACTTCTATATACATTTCTCAAAGATAAACCTTATTTAGGGAGGTGGTCATTTTTAGTTTTTTAAATAATAAATACAGAACAAGATGTGTGGCCTCTGAACTCATATTTACCTTCAAATTGAAAAATCTAAGACATATTAACACACTCTTGATACCACAAAGCAATTTAAAACTAATGGAGCTCTTCCATAAAAACCTAAAGTTTAACAAAGATGAAAATAATTTTTTAAATTATACAAAAGTGGATTTAAAAGATAAACTAAATGACTCTAATAACTCATAGCTTTATCTTTTTCATTTGATATTTTCATTCTAAAAAATACAATGTTGGCAAAACATTCTATACCAAGGGGATAATGTTAAGGCTAACAACAACAAAAAAGTGAGAGAATCAGTTCTTTCTCTATCTTCAAAATGTAAATAATCTCCAAGTGTTTTATAGCCATAAATTTTTATGATTCAATATAGGAATTGCTGCTGCCTAGGGGAGAAGTCTTCTTGAAAGCCAACATTAAAGACCACACAACTATATCAGAATGCCTTCCTCCTCCCAGAAGGGCACATCTTATGCTTCCTAAAAGCCCTGTTCACTGAAGTCACTGCAGGAAGTCAAAGCTCCAAGGTATATATTATCACCCTGACTGTCAAACCCATATTTCCTTCAATATCTCCTATTCTTACCCAGGACACTATCTATAGAATCCTGTACTCTCAGGAACTCCTTCCTGACAGGTAGATACACTTTACCTCCTTGCACAACCAAAAGGACAACAAAATTTAAAAACAAAAAATAACCAGAACTACCAGAAAATCAAACTATATGGAAGTCCAACAACCAAGGAGTTAAGAAGAAACATTCACACACACTGGAAGGAGGGGCAGAGACAGGTTGCTGGGGTGGACAGGATGCGTGGTAAGACGGTGGGAAGACCTGAAAAGGCAAAGCAGCAACTGGTAGACCATGTGGTCCCTGCATGCAGATAACTGGGGAGCAAAACAGACTGTACAACCCAGGGTTCCAGTGTGGTAAAATAAAGCCTCAAAACCTGGTAGTAAAAACCTGTGGGGGTTGTGATGGTGGGAGAAGCTCCCAGCCTCACAGGAGAGTTCAATGGAGAAACCCACAGGGTCCGAGAATATACGCAAACCCACCCACCTGGGAATCTGCACCAAAAGGCCCCAATTTGCTTGTAGGTAGCGTAGGAAGTGACTAAAAGCTGAGCAAGCAGCGTTGTTCCTTCTCCAACTACCTCCCTCCACATACAGTGCCACAACACATCAACATCGGTCACCCCACACTGGCAAGTACCCAAGGCTCAGCCCCTTACACATAACAGCTGTGCCACGACAAAAAAATGTGGCCCTAATAAAAGAACAAATCAAAGTCCCAAAAACAGAACTAAGCAATGACAAGATATCCAAACTATGAGATAAAGAGTTCCAACCACTGGTAATCAGGATACTCACAGAAATGGCTGAGTATGGTCCAAAATGGAGGAAAAGTGAAGGCTATGCAAAGTGAAATGAACAGAAATGTACAGGGAACCAACAGTGAAGGGAAGGAAACCAGGACTCAAAGCAACAATTTAGAACAGAAGGATGAATAAACATTCAACCAGAACAGAATGAAGAAACAAGAATTCAAAAAAATGAGGAGAGGCTTAGGAACCTCTGGGACAACTTTAAACATTCCAACATCCAAATCATAGGGGTACTAGAAGGAGAAGAGGAATAGCAAGAAATTGAAAGCTTATTTGAAAAATAATGAGTTTCCAGTCTGGCAAAGGAAAAGACTTCCAGGAGGTCCAGGAAGCTCAGAGAGTTCCAAAGAAATTGGACCCAAGGAAGCATATACCAAGGCATATCATAATTAAGTTACCCAAGATTAAAGACAAGTAGCAAGATTCCTAAAAGCAGAAAGAAAAAGGAGGCAGTTACCTACAAAGGAGTTCCCGTAAGACTATCAGCTGATTTCTCAAAAGAAATCTTACAGGCAAGAAGGGGCTGGAAAGAAGTATTTGAAGTCATAAAAGGCAAGGACCTACATCCAAGATTACTCTATCCAGCAAAGCCATCATTTAGAATGGAAGGGCAGATAAAGCGCTTCCCAGATAAGGTCAAGTTCAAGGAGTTTGTGATCACCAAGCCCTTATCATATGAAATGTTAAAGGGACCTATCTAAGAAAAAGAAGATGATCAAAACTATGGACATTGAAAAGGCATCTAATTAACAACTATCAACAACTGAACCTAAAAACAAAAACAAACTAAGCAAACAACTAGAACAGGAACAGAATCAGAGAAATGGACATCCCATAAGAAGCATAAATGCTAGGTACAATATAGACAGAGGAAGGTTAAGAACAGTATAGGAAATGGAGAAGACAAAGAACTTATATGTATGACCCATGGACAGGAACTAAGGGAGGGAAATGTGGGTGGTAGGGGGATGCAGGGCAGAGGGGAATAAAGGGTGGAAAACAGGACTCTGTAATAGCATAATCAATAAAATATATTTTTTAAAAAGAACTCCTTCTTGATCTATGATGAGAAAACTCTTTATACTTCTTATCAGAAATTTCCATTTATCTTCTAGCTTTAGCAGAAACCTGGCTCTCTCCTCCTTCAAACCTCCAAACACTACTAATAAACATTCCTTCTCTTTCTAAAAAATAAAGTCTCTGCTTCTTAGAAGCCCTGGCTACCCTTCCCCATGAACAATCCATCAGCTAGTCTTTCTAATTATCCCTTCCATGTCTACCACAAATCCATCCCCTTCTTTTGTAAAAAATGCAATTCAAGTGTCTGCAAACCACAATAAAGCAAAGCACAACAAAGCAAGGTTTGCTTGTAATTAGAAACCTCAAAGGAGGCAGAGTGGGAATTTAAAACAAAAATACTTGAAGAAAAATGGCTAATAATATTGAAGACTTGAAAACTAAAATCCACAGATTCAATAAATTCAATTAACCTAAGCACAAGAACCATGAAAACACACACACACACACACACACACACACACAGAGTCAGTACCATAGCTGAGTCAAATAGCCTTAGGATATTCAAATAATATAACATTTTTTATAAACTAGTTACATATATGAAACCCCATCAAGTCTATAACTCATTTTGATGAGTTCCTGGATATCTTATTTTTTCTAATAGAATTTTAAAAATTTCCCCCTGTAAATGCAGCACAAATTAACTAGTCTTCTTCCCAACTTAATTCATGTCACAATATCTAAAACTGCAGATCTGTTCTCATCTGGTGGAGCTTTTTAAAGAACCAAATGACCAAGGATTCTTGGTGAGTCAGTGAGACATGGGTCATCCTTCAATGTCAGGAGAATTTCACCTTCTGCAATTAAAGCCTTTCTAACAATGAAGGGGTTAAATGTTTTAGCCCCTGTTATTTCAAGTAGTATAAATTCTCAGATTATTAAACAATACCATAATAACCAAAATGAATCCTGAATAAAAATACTATGTAGATAGAAAAATTATTGAATAAATATTTTTAAAATAAAATAGAATTAACATAACCAAAATCAATAGTTGAGTTCTAATGACTGGTATCAAATATGCTGAGCTGCATTAGCTCAGTCATTGCCCAATCCCAGAAGTAAGAGTCATTTCTGAAAACCACATGACTACAAGAACACTACTATTGCTATTAAAATGGATAGGTCTAAATGTCTAAATACAGATCAAGCCAGGAAAAAAACTACATTACCTTTTCTTTCCCAATACTTTTTCTATCAGCTTCCTAGAATCAGTGCTCAATTGTTTGGTTCTTCTTGGACTTTTAGGACACACTTCTTGTTCTTCTGAGGAAGAACAATATCCAGAAAGATACCTGGCCAGAGTCATTATTGCCCATCAGAAGCAAATAACACAACCTCAGCGGTTTTTCCTACCAAAAGTTAGGAGTTAAATTAAAGACCTACAGACTCTTTTCCAGCTCCA